TGTTGCGGGTTTCTTCCATATAAAAATAAAATGTGTTTATTAAAAAAAACCGACTAAAATTGAATGGGCTGCGTACTCAAAAAAATTCTAACACTTCCGAGGAAAAAAGTTTTAAATTTAGGAGAAAACTGAATTTTTTTGTAGTCTTTTACAAAGTTTAAAACTTGTGTTTATATGGGATTTGTTAGAGAATGAACTATATTTTAATTTTTAAAAATTAATAATAAAACATAAGTGGCAAACAATAACTCTTTGAAATGGGGGTGGCTATGGATATGGCCAATACTGTACACATGCATGTATAAGGATGTGCTTGTGTATGTATGCCTGTTGCTGCAATTTGTTGCAATAATTTGAATTGCAACGGGGCTTGCTCGCTCAAAGTTCTTGTGACATCGATTCTTTGGCATTAATTGAAAAATCACTGTTGAACAAATTTAGCAAATGTAATATACGCAACATATTTACGCATACATACATACATACATATGTATGTGTATTAATAAATATTTAAAGCGAACAAGCTGTTATTTAAGCATAAACCTATTAGCAGCATGAGCATAAATTGGAAACATCAGCGACCCACATTTTTATATTAAACGAAAAAATGTTGCAAATTTTTTTCTATTTTTTTTTTTAAATTAATTTCGTCAATTGAAATGAGTGGGAATTGGGCAAACTATATTTTGATGTATGTATTTAAATAGTATATTTAAAAAATATATGTCTAAAATTTCCAAGAGAACTGACCGAAATGCAGCTTCTTAAGTCTTTTATGTTCTTCGATTCAAAAAATTGCACCTCAAAATTAATTTCAAGCTTCGTCGCTGCATAGTAAAGTTATGGAGCGAAGATTTTCGTGGATAACATTGAACAGCACTGAGAAGTCGATCTGTTTTAGCATGTTTATGGTTATGGCCTTATGTGTCAAAAAAGCCCCCACCTATTTCGATAAGTTTTTTTTTTTTTTTTGTAAATATTTGTGCTGCGCCTTTTTCATTAGACGCAAAAAACCGCATGAAATTAACACTCTGTGCGATCTTCGATATCTCGTCCATCTAAATCTCTAAATCTCTGCTGTTATTCAAATACCTTTATAGCGATGACAGCAAACTGCACCCAAAATATCCAGTGTCTCTGGAAATCCGAGCCCGAGCTGTTGTGACCGTCTGCTGAGTGATGATTGCCGATCGATGACAAGACGCGTGCTCTTGGTGAATGGCGTGGCGGCATGGCCCCCGAATGTATTTTAATTTACTAAAATATTACACACCCACACTTTAATGCACACCTTTGCGCTCCAAAATAGAAAATACATAAACAAAAGCAAAAAAAAAAAAACTAAGTAAGTGACTTTCATCGCTTTCTCAATATGTCGGCGCGTGTGTTTTGCTTAAAATTATTGCCAAGAAGAAGAAAACAACGCCGCTGTGTAATAAATCACACGCTCACCTACCACCGCCCACACGCCACGATTAGGATCCCCCTGCCGCCTCTGTCCTCTTTGCTTACCTGTAGCCACCACTGATGCTTTACACGTTGTTGCCTTCTTTGCTGAGGCACCTACAAACATTTGTATGTAGCTGCGCATGTGTGTGTGTGTTTGCGCTCTTTTTGCTCCCAAATTAGATACTGTTATTTTTGTATTTTGGGGGGAAAATGCAAGCTCTGCTCGCTTGTTTGCCTGGAGATTTGAGTTGGTTTGATTTAGTCTTTTTCGGTGCCTGCGGCATTTCGTGTGTTGGTGGAAAATTGAGTTTGCTTGGGGGCCACAGTGAATGGACGGCTGGCCCTTGTGTTCGTTTGCTCGCTAAATGGTCGTTTTTTTTGGTGTTGTTGCTGTTGCCTCTGCGGTAGCGATCAGCATCTGCTTTGGCTTCATGCAAATAAATATTTATAAATTTATTTAGGTTATTTGGCCTACAAGTGATAAGCTTATACAAAAAAAAAAAAGTTCCCCCTTGCACCACTGCCGCCCCTTGGTCGGTTCAGCGATTGTATTAGCCGTATTTGTTCTTAAAAAGACAAATTATCGATATTTAATTCAACTACGTCAGGCTTTAATAAATGCTTTTGTTTGTACTCACTTCCCATGAAAGACACTACCACTATTCGTTGGAGCGAAGAGATGAGCGCGCGGCGCGGCAATCATGCTGGATTTTAGACCTATTTTCATGGCGAAGTCAAATTCATATACTCATATACTTTATATACTTGCTTTTATCATCCACCCAAAAAAACGAAAGAACAAATCGTACACTTATATCGATTTGACCTCAGATACGGCACTCAAAAAGGTTATCTAATGACAAATGCCACAAGCAAATTAATTTACCAATATGAAGAAACCGAGATGAGTAGCGCAAACATATTTAATCTTCGCTGCATTTGATGAGACCTCCAGGCGGGTACCGAACCAACCAACTTAATTTGTTGTGCTGCCTTAGAGCTTCTGTTGCTTTTTTTTTGTTGCATTTGGGTTGTGAAAATTCCCAAGGCAGGCCACTAATGAATTTGTGTGAATTTGAGTTTTGATTTTTGACAGTTTGGGTTTGCGTCCAAAAAATTAATTATTTTAACTCGACCCAGTTATCATGGCAGTCATGCTGCTCTAAAGCAATCTAGGGCTAGGCGATGGCGGCTAATGCTGGCTTTGGCTATTATTATTATTATTATTATTATTATTATCGTATTGCTCGTGCGATTCTAATCAAATTCGCCACATTGATCAGCGCGTCTTGCAGCTATAGATAGGCTTTGGCAAACTTCCCACACTCTGAGCAAACCTATTCTTCTTCTTCTTCTTCTTCTTCTCAATTGCTTATTTATTCGCTTGGGAAATATAAAACTTCAAAGAGGTTACATTAAAAGTTTCATATGTGCGTATGTATGTATGTGTGCGTTGTATGTATGCATTTGTTTATTTATTTATTCATCATGATATCTCTAAAGTTGATATTGTTGTTGTTTCGATGTGGCGAATTTTAATATATGTATGTATATCATTAAATGCATATACTATATACTTAGATGCTCTAGAAACACTTTTGTATCGTAAAGAAAATTTTTTAAAAAAGCCGCTTACGTCTTTTTGGCGGTTAGGGCTCAATGTCTTGTTTGCATTTCTATTCTCTTCTATTTATGTACGCATATTTTTATGCCACAACGCCCTATCGAGAGCCAGAGCAAAAAAGTTGCTTGAACTGACGAAGCTTTGACAGGATGGGAGAAACCAGAAATGAAAAAAAAAATTTAATTTTATAAATTTTCACTTATTTTGGGTAACGATTGGGTGTTGGTTGGTATCTTACAACGCTGGCGGCAAACTTAATCTGCAATAGGAAACGAGGGTTTCGAGTATAGCTTTCCATGTAGAAATACGACTCGAAAAGTATCGCGCACGTAAAGCAGCGGAAGACCCGAATTACGGAAGGGCATATTTAAAATTGCTGCGTTTTTCACTCAATCTATACGGGTGAAAAACCGGCCGGAGATATTTAATATTTAAATTATGTCTGTCTTTTTAAATTGACAACTTCCCACCCTGAACTTGATAGCTGAATGCAGAACACCGCGCTATAAAAGTTGCTAAGAAACGAAATCACACTTTTAAAAAATAGTTGGTTGTGGTTTCAAGTCCTCTAAACATTTATTTAGTCGTTAAAAACTTTACGGCATGCTACATATACGACACCTTGTGAACCACGTTGTTGTCTCTAAAATGAATGCCATTGTCCGAACGTTTTGATTGTCGAATACAATCGAAATTTAGATAAGTTAGATTGACCAGTTGAGATAAAGTAAATCGGGCCCATCGACATATTTGTTAAGCTAAGCATTGCGATCAGCAGGTCTATTGTCATCCCTTTGCTCCTTACAAAACCTTGTTCAGACCTAACTCCACTTGAATACTCGTGTTTGAATGTTAGTGTTTGGCCGAGCTTCTACTCCGATTTGTGGCGTGAGCCTTGATGTTACACAAATGGAGATGCCTACAGTTTCACGCTGACTCAGAACGGCAAATGGATTTTGTGAGAAGCTTTTTCATAGCAGAAATACGCTCAGAGGTTTGCCATTGCCTGCCGAGGAACGACCGCTGTTAAAAATAATCTAATCTAGATCTTGCTCCCACCAGGGATCAAACCCAGGCCGGTTCGCGAAAATTTTAAAGGAAAAGCCTTTCTAGAAAGGATGTACATTTTTCGACGCTTCTTGTGTAAAACTTTTAGAATGGCTTCACTTAAGAAGGCCTACCCAAATTATCTTCTGGGAAGTCATTTTGTGCGCGTATTCTAATAAAACGATATACCAGGGGCATACTCGATGCGGCCCATACTGTCTAGCATGGTGCATAGATTCAGGTGTTCAAACAACAACAAAATTAGCCAATCACCATGCACCATGCTAGACAGTATGCAACGGATCGAGAATACCCACCCCCTACTGATTATATGTATGTACATTAGGGTGGTCCAAAAACAGTAAAGTCGGAATTGTAATGCTCTCATCCCCTGGATTTTTCTATATCGAAAAAAGTGTATTTTTATTTTGAAATCAAAAAATATTTAGAGGTTGCTCGAAGCGCTCAAAGTTTTCCCTGTATTTTTATATGGGAAAAATAAATTTTTTCGTAGAAATGGTATAGAATTCTTAAAAAAACTCTGGTTCTCTTAAGGATACTTTCAATAATAATACCCAAACAATTGGTACTCTAACCATTTTTTAATACTAACGATTTTTTATTGGTGGCCCCATTGCATTTTTCGGGGTTTTTGTGGGGTTTTGGCGGACCTACAAATTTTAGTTACAATGAAAAAATGGTTAAATCAACAATTGCGTATTATTATTGGGAATCTCCTGCAGATAAACAGAGTTTTCTGGTAGAAAAATATTAATTTTTTAACTATTCTATGCCATTTCTACGAAAAGTTGTTTTTCACCATATAAAATACATGGAAAACTTTGAGCGCTCTCTAAATATTTTTTGATTTCAAAATAAGAAATAAGGGTATATTTTTTCGGTATAGAACAATCCCAGGGGGGGTGAGAGCTTAAAAATTCCGACTTTACTTATTCACATACATTCTTGGACCACCCTAATGTACATATGCATACAAATATTTTTGGATTTTGGATATTTCTTGAATAATTATTCAAATGTAAACAAAAAAAAGTTTATTGTTCACAATTAATGAATGATGATATCACTTTAATTGCGACAACTATTGTTTCTCATATTCGCACACATTCCTCTTTTGCATGTAGAAAAAAACGATGAAAACGATGTTGTGTAGTCAAAATTATCGCAACATCTAACTCGCTGAGACAGCTAACAATCAAATAGACAAGACAACCAGACAAGAACTGCCGGTGTGATATTTTGCCCAACATTGTATGTACTACATACATATATTATGTATAAGCTGTATAAACAAGAGAAGTACATACATACATACGTATGTATGTGTGCAACTGTAACGACGGTGTAAATAAAAGCAGCGCCACCATCTAAAATTAAAGTCAAAGAGAATCATGAATGAGAATATAGTGGCGAGTGGCGAATGGGTGTGGGCACACATACATACATATATGTATGTAGATATTTATTTGTCAATTTTTAAATGTGTTCGAGTCGGCTTGCTCCACTTTGTGGCAAATGCGCTAAAACCGCTGTCAACACAATTTTTAATATCGAGCAACTGTGGCGAGTGCGCTGTCATTCTGTTCTGTCTACCTGTCTTCGATGGCTGCTCTCTCCCCCCCTTCCCACCTGACTGTCAGCCGTCAGATGCAGGAGGCATCACCAATTCAACACAACATCTCTTTAAGGCACGCGATTTTAAAGAAAATAAAAACCCTAGGTGAACACAATGTTTTTTATTATAAAAAGTGGAAATAAACACTAATTTCAGTTATTTAGCCCCGTTAAATTTGGTGGTGGCGTTTCGCATGTTAATGTTTGTTGAGTTGTCTTACCTATAAACTGGCATGAAACTAAAACAAAATTAAAAACCATTTTTAAGATTTGATATTTTCATTTCATTTTCTTCAATAAATTTTAAAACCTAAACCCATTTGTTAAAAGAGTCCTGTTTATTATAATTCAAGTAAAAACGTCCTAAGATCCAAAAAATTATTGTAGAAGTGTCGAAAAAAAAACGAAAAAATAATGAAGCATATCTTTTTATAAATGCCTCAAAAAAAAAAAAAAACAAAAACTGTCGGTAATTTTTTGCTAAAAAAATATCAGGCACGCTTAGACTTTTACAAAGGCGTTTAATATGTCAGTGCGTTTTTTAATTTCCCGCATAGTAACTCTAAGTGCAACATTGATCCTGTCAACTGACATCAGTTGATAACAGTGTATGACAGTCATTGGAAGCAAACAACCTCGTGAAATTTGAAAAAAAAGCGAAACAAGTGAATTTCGTCCATAACTTTTTACTTGCGGTAAGAAATGCTATCTCATCCAACATATTCTCCCGATTGTGACCTCACCGACTACATATCTCTGTGTGACTGGACGGTAAGAAACTGGAAAAGCACTGAGCTAAATGTATCGATCTAAGAGACGACTATGTTGAGAAATGTGAGAAAATGTTTCTTCTCCGAAAAAAAAAAAGTTTTTTTTTTGTAAGTCAGTACTACCAAATTTCGTTCTTCTGCTTTTACATGAAGTAACTTAAATTTCATCAAATTACATATTTAGAAATTCTTAAGTAAATAAATTAAAACAAAAGTAAATTTCGAATACGAGCCACACGAAAAACGAGCAGAGAAGCAGGAAGTGATTGCACAGACCTATTTAATGGTGAGTATGAATGTATGTATGTATTTGTTTATAAAAATTGTGAGGTAAGAGTTCAGCACGCCAAAAGTACATACATATGTAATTACAAACACGCTGAATGGTTGTAGAATGCCGAGAACTCAAAAGCTATGGTTGGCCGCGTTTGCGAATTCGGTTTCGAACGTGTCTACACGTTTCCAATGAACGCACATTTGCCTGAAGTGCAAGCGTATCTATAAATATAAATATGTACATATGTTTGTATGTATGTATATGCAGTTGTGCAACAAGTTGCTTGAATTTCGTTCTATTTACATAGTGTCGCATGCAAATTGCAAGTAATTAAAAAAGACGCTCGCAGACGAACAATCAAAGTGGTTTGGAAATGTTTTTAGAGACCTCCCCCCCTTTGCACTCATTCCCGCCAACTGCATACATAAATGCGCTTTTATATTCATTCATTCAAATCACAGAGGTCAACCAACACCCAAATAACGCGTTCGGTGCGCAGTCAGAGCGGTTGAGAAGCGGATCATGCGGATGATAATGAGACGAGTATCTATCTACATATCTGTGAGTGCAAAATCGGCAACGGCATTGACAATTCAAAATGCCAAGGAAGGATGGATTATTGGCACAAAATGCTGTAAAAGTGCTCCATTTGGCTGCATTCATTTTTGCATTCCTTTCGAGGTCGGTCAAGTGAGAGCAGAGCTATCTCATCTGCAACTATTCACTTTTTTACATGCGCATCATAAACGTTTAGATGAACTTGGCAGGGAATCGGAGATATGAGATTGCAATTATTTTTAAATTTTGCACTAAAAACAATATTGGGAACGTTTTTGTGTAGTCATGTATTATGATTTTCGAATTTTGAGGAGGGAGTCTATGTCACGTTTCAGATTTTACAAGCTCGAAATTAAAAAGGCGTAGGGATTTCCAGGTAAACCTTCCATATTTTTGGGCTACCTGAAAGAAAAGTGAAGTAAAAGAAGGTCTGTGGTACTGCCGAAGACAGTTGTCAAAACACCAGATAAACTCATCTACAACTTTCTCTAGTCTTATTCACGAGGAAGTACAAGTTCTCCAATGCATCTCTTGCCTCGATGGGAGGTGTTCGTGGAAGAATAACTTCGAAGCAAGAGTTGACAGGGGAGGTATAGGTTAGAACCGGGATCTCTATCAAAGTAATTTTCTGGTACAGCCAGACCCCATAGATAAACCTACCATGTTGAGTTGTTGCCGCACTTATTAGCATTGGTTGTGCATTGCGGGCCAGTCCACTGAGTTCAATGATGGTGCGCTTAAAATTCGTTAGGAAGTGCTTAATCATGGCTGCATGGCTGAAGACTTGACGACCGATGGTGCCTTTGAAACGATATCACCGGCTAGGCGCGGATGGGTGTACCACTGACCACCGCTGGCTCAACCTTCGACAAATGGACCCCAAGCTGGCTTAGTGAAAGGTGGTTCACTGTATGACCGGAGTTCGCGGAAGAAACAACAAAAATCAAAGTTGCCCGTAAGATGACCAGAGGGAGTCACTACAGCTTTTTAGGTTTCGCGAGGCTATTAGCCGTCTCTCTAACTTCGTGATTGTGTTTGATTTGGGACATTTCAGATTTAGAAGTGGTTACCGTGTGTCCCCAACTGCGGACGATTACCTAAGCGAACCGGCTAACAAGTACCTCCTAAACCACACTGCCCCACATTCTTGTGCCCCACCTTCTTCGCACTCACAGTCACACCAATCACCAGAGTACACTTGCAAACTCACGAACAAAGCGTGACTGCTTAGAAACTCTGTAAATCACTTTGCCTCTAACTACTCGAAAGTGTGTAACTCAGCTATTTTGCCATTTCACCAGCTCTTTATGCTTTTTAAATATAACCTTTCAAATTTTTAATGGGTCAAGTGTTTAACTACATAGACGCGAAAAGCCTTGTCAGGGGCAACGTTGTACTAAAAACGCATACATAAATTCTCGTTCCATTCTTGCCATGTAGTATATATGTATGTACTTGCTAACATGAATAACTGCAACTACAAAAATACATACATATCTACATGCATTAGTACAAGCCGATGTATGCTAATGTATGTACTCCTATGTGTGTTCGTACAGCATGTACCGCCATTTGCACTCGCAGACCTTGCAGTAGCAACCCGAAAACATTAAAAACTTACAATAAACGAAAAGGTAGAAAATTGTTCACCAACATTAAAACTGCTTAGCATGAGCCAACGCGACTAACTCCTCTACCCAGTGAATGGCCGAACACGCTGCCTGCTTGCCGTATTGCCAGCTAAGTAGGACAATATAGGGTAGGGGGGTGCTGCGGGTGTTGCATAGAGGTAGGGAAGGCGGCGCTCATTGGCTGCGATTGCCATTGCCGGTGATAGTGGCAAGGCAAAAAGCAAGCGTTGTTGCCAAAAGCGAACTAACTATCTTAAAGCGAAGCTGCCGAGCTGCCACTGCACATAACCTAAAATGTAGGACGCTGAACTCGTTTGCGCGCGCGATAGTTAAGCTCGAAAGCAGCAACCAAGTCTTAGAGCGCAACATAAGCAAAAAAAAAAATTAACAAAACGAAAAACGAAAAAGTCAGTGAAAAAAAAGAAACTGAAAATTTAATTCACAAGCGAATATGAAAATTATTACATAGACAGATAAAACGCAAATGGGCCGCAACGTAGACGGCTGCCGTGCTGCCTGGCGGGTTGATTGCTTGCTTGGTGAGCCTAGCTGTCGGGACTACACACTCGTAGTTGGCTGAATTGAATGGGTCGCCTAGCCTGACTAGGAGCTGGAAGGCTATCTGACTTCGCTTCTTTGCTTGCTGTTTAACTGTCTGGCTGCCTGGCTGCCTGAATGCTTGACTCGCCGTCCGTCTCAAGTGTTTTCGTTCACCGACAGCAAGAAAAAGCACAGAGAGCATATAAAAACTGTTGCTATCTATGGCCGCAACGAGGCGAAATGTTTTCGAGTGAAAAGCCCACTTCCAAAATGAAAATATGTACCTACATATGTAGTCACCAAGCTATACATACATGTTTGTAGGTACATACATACTACAGGGTTACCACCAGAAAAATTTGTTTCCGCCCAAAGTTCCGATCAAAATCAATGACAACCGTCCAAATGAAGAGCACAAGCTTCTTTTTAAACTAATTTGAAAATTAACAATTTATGTCGAAAGGCTAAAAATCTCATTTGTAAAAATTCAAGGGTTTATAATCCTTAAGAGCGTGTCAGACTTGGCAATATTTCCAACTTTTCCACCCAATTCGCTGCCAAATTGAGAAAGGGAAATTTTATTTCAATGTGGGAACAGCCAGAAAGACCTTTCTGTCACTTTTGGGAAATCAGTTTCAGAAATTAAAGTTGCAATGTGCAATTCGACTTTCGGAATAAAAAAAAAACTCTTTCGAAACACGCTTTACAAGCAAGGTGTGACTGCTCATGCAACTGCTTTCTGAAATTTCTCAATTTGACTGCCTTTCGAAATATATTCCATACGAAATTATTGACACGCTCTTACAATAACTGTAATAATACTACTAGCGTGGGCCGAAAATCCGCTTTTTTAGAATTTTGATTGGTAATAGCAAAAATATGGTTCACTATGCTCTAAAAACAATCTGTTTGAAATATGACTATTTTTGGTCAATATCTTGGGCTCGCCCAAGTCCATCAAAGTTCAATATGGCCAATATTTCGCTCTTAATTCGATATGACAGTTCGCTGTTGTTTTTTCCATCATTTTTTCTCTCTATCTCTTACAAAATGGTCTATATCGTGTTAGCGCTGTGTTTCATAAACATTATGTAAGATTTACACGAGGGCAAGCAAATATGTATAAAGGTACAGGGTTTTGATTTTTGGCCTTTTTTCTTTTGTTTCTTTAATGTTTATTGTATTATCTAACAAAAACTATTTAAGCTCAAATTTCAAACTTCGTAGAAAAAAACCAACAACATTTTACAACAAGCAAATTTTTATTACGGGTTTTTAAAAAGTTCTAAATATGCATTTTTATAGACCATTAAATTCCAGCTTAAGAAAGTACAAGTTTCAAGTGGCTAAGATTTCGAATTAATTTTTGATATTTTTTTTTTTTTTTTGCGAATGGTGTTATTATATTCTTCATTCTTTCCGCTGTGGTGTAGTGGTAAGCCGTGCGCGCTTTCACTCCGCAACGTCTAGGTTCAAGCCCAAGGATTTTTCTTAACAACGGTCCACCCTCGGCAGGCAATGGCAAACCTCCGAGTGTATTTCAATCATGAAAAACAGCTTCTCATAAAAATACAATCGCCGTTCGGAGTCGGCGTAAAACTGTAAGTTCTTCCGATTTATGTGACAACGTCAAGGCGCACGCCACAAATCGGAGGAGAAGCTCGGCCAAACACTAACATATGTGTAAGCGCCAATCTATTATTATTATAAGAAGAAGAAAATGCGCTACACATATGAATTAATCACAAAACCGACCAAAAATTTTTTTTTTAGCCTTCCAACCGACCAAAGTAAATACATCCGAACAATTTTGGGCAGAAAAGCTCATATCTGGCAACACTGCATATATTTGTATCTAAATTCGTAGTGGCGTTGTGTGTGCGGGGCAATACTTATTTATGTAGATAGGCAAATTCGTGTGTAGGATGTTAGTAGGCTATTGGAAGCGCTTCACACGACAGCCGACATGCACAACGGACAGACACCAACAGCGAACATCAAAGACGACGTGGCCATGTGGCGGCAGTAATAGTTGCAAGACTACTTGCTACGACGATGCCCGTATTCGTCAAGTTTCCAGCTTACATTTTTGTTTCCACTCCGCAAGAGAAAGGGGAATTCGCTGTGGAATTTTGTAATTACTTTTGTGTTGGAAAGATGAAAAAGTTTTGATGAATTTCGGCAAAGTTTTCCCAGCTATTTCATTGAAATCTTATTTAGGATAGATATTTAGTTATTTAGTTCGAAAACGCCTTACGTTGATTGGAGGAGTAGTAATACCTAGTCAGTGTTTCATTGGAGACGTGTGTTTTCCATGTGAATGAAATAAGCAAGAAAGAGACTCACCAGACTCACCAGGGGCTTCGAGAAGTGATTGGATATGACTGATCGATGAAACCGGATCCGGATATCGTGTAATTACTTCCATAGCCCCTTGACCTTAAACCACTTACTGGCTCAGATGAAACATAGAAGGTCGTTCGATAGTTTTACCTTCGTTATCTCTATTTATCTTATAGATCCTGACGGGTGTAATGCCGCGTGACTGATAACAAATAGAGACTCACCCATGATCTTGAAAGACATTACATTCTTCAGGTGGGCGATGGTAATACCATCACGGGCATTGATACCGTTAAGACGTCGTCTTAAGAACCTTTGTAGGTATGGTATTATTATTTATTCATTTACTTTTTTGATTTTTTTGAACAGTTATCAAATGTAGGTTAAATTTTATGAGCCATAAATTCCTCATTTCTCGACTTGATAACTGCTGGTCATTAACAATCATTAACAGACTAAAAACGACCAATGATTCCGTGAACACAGGAGGGTGGACACGTGTAAGAACTTTGCAGACTTTTGTTGACAAGAGGAGGAAGGAATGATTAAAACTTTGCTCACATAATATTTGAATGCCCCTAAAAGGGTTGTTTACCGGCTTTAGAAAAATTGTTGTATGACTTCCGCGTGAATCGAACCTTGTCCTTCCGAAAGGTATCGCGTCATATTAGGTTTAGAAATATATGTATGTACATACATCTTTCAGCTTTTATTGAACGTCTCAACACAAGTCCTGTTTGTGTTACTGTCTAATGCCTCCATGATTATACAAATTTTATTACGATTGGTTAATTTCATTGTAGCGTGACGTTTATACCCAAGCCACGCTCCATTTCTACAGGTACTTGCTGGCGTGTTATCGAACTTTATTCCATCAGTGTTGTTTATTTTACTTACCTTTATTTTGTTTGGTTTTAAATTTTTTTTTGTTTTTCTCTTTCGTTTCGATTTAGGTGCATATACATATATATATTTACATACAGTGGCGCTCACCTAAATAGCACACTTTTATTTTTTACAATTTTCACAATGTTTACCGTGCCGTAGCTGTATTTTTTTGTAAGCGAGCGACAAAAGAACGGTGAAGTCGGGTAAAATTTCCTTTTAGCTAATTAAGCAACCCTGCTGGTAGCTGGCAAGAAACATGTGATTAGTTTAACACATTAGACACAAAAAGCAATAGAAATTAGTTTTATGCGAGATATTTGCATAATATATATACTTATTTAAAATATAAATCATGTATATACGAAAACAAAAATTTCCCTCTGCAATTTCCCAGTAACAATTCACAATAGAGCAGTTTTTTCACTTAACAACACTACTCTTCAGGTCGCGTATTTTTTAACCGACCTGGCTGAACTCGGATAAATAGCCGAGTTTGTGTTGTTGCTTTACGTGTATTTCGTCATTTAAGCGAGTGTTCTTTTGTAGCTCGGTTGCAAAAGAATGGACCTAGTAGATTCTATAACATAAACCATATAAGTCAAAGTTTAAAATTTGGTGTAGAGTTCAGGGAAATTGAACACATTTCCAAAGAATGTTTTTTTTTCGGAATCTTTAGAAACTTTTTGTGTACGTTACGCAAGACTCAGAGAATACCTCTAATATTCACAGTGTTTTACGTGATACATTTTTTTTTTCGTTAATATGTATGTACGTACGCTACCGAGTATGTAACTATGTTTGTATGCACATATGCACCTCGAAATAGATGTATGTATGTATGTTGAAATAGATACGCGCCAATTGTGTTGTTAACTTCGTCGGGACACTCAACTCCCTGGGCGTTGCAAGTTCCACTTGCAATTACCTCTATCGACAAATATTAAATTGACATCAATTATTGTCGCGTTGACAATTTTACTTAACGGTTGTTGTCACAATACACTACGTACTCGCACCTATGTACATTAGACTGCATCACCAAAAAAAAGTTGCGGTTTTTCCGCCGGGATTACAAAATTTATTATATTCTAAGACGTCCACCAAAATATTTCGGAAAAATATTATGATTTAAGTGAGCTGGACCGCTTTGAAAATACATCCAAAAATGGAGGTTTTTATGAATAAAAATAGTTTCTTAAAAAACTTTTTGAAAAAAGTCTCCTCAGATGACAAAAAAGAGTTGGCTTGCATAAAAATACTTAAAAATCTTTTCAACGGAATCGTAATAATAAGATTTTTGATGATGTTTTCTACAAAGATTGATTTACGAAAAACTTAAAAAACTGGGCCAAAACTATTCTGATTTAGACTTATGGGTTCTCCCACTATTTTTATTTATGTGCAAAAAAGTCACTCGTATCTCAATTTTTATTTATTTTTTCAAATACCAACACATCTTAATTCAACTTTGAATGATGTTCGTTCATCCTACCTTTCTCTTTGATCCTTTGAATGAGCTTATTAGCAAAGAAATAAAAAGGGTGAGAAAATACCTTTCCAATGATACCTCACAAGTCTAAATCGGAAGAGTTTAGGTTCAGTTATTCAAGTTTTTCTTATACCAAAAAAACAGCATCAAAAATCTCATTATTACGATTCCGTTCATTTTTTTTTTAATATTTTATGCAAATTTTTTAAGCTTAAACCGTTTTGTCATTTGAGGGTATTTTTTTAACATCTTTAAGAAACTATTTTTATCCATAAAAAACTCCATTTTTGGAGGTATTTTCAAATCGGTCCAGCTCGCTTAAATCTTAATATTTTTCCGAAATATTTTGGTGGACGTCTTAAAATATAATAGATTTTATAAGTCCAATGGAAAAATAGTACCGAGTTTTTTTTTTTGTATGGGGAGTGATGCAGTCTAATGTAGATGTATTCTTTTGTATGTATAGTATGTATTGGGCATGTATTTGTTTGCCCCTTTTTCTGATTTTTCAAGCCTTTGTCTATGTCGCTAAGATGGTAGCAAATAAGTGCAATATCTGTTTTACGCTTTCGAATGCAATTTTTTTTTTCCGTCTAAGCATGCAAACAAATGGAAAATAGGTTTCTGGAGCAATTAACATTTTCTTTTTCTTTATACAACTTTGTATTTATGTTCATGTGTACTATATATGTATTTAGGTATATTGATCGTTTTGTGAAGTAGCTGCGAAACGTTTCCATTTATCCTTTGTCAAGTTTTATAGGGCTGTTAATACTCTTCTATTCGTAGATGTTTAAAGAGCACCGGTTTATCAAATACAGTCTCTAACGTTAGAGAAATTTGGATTTCTACATTTGATAACTAGGGTAGTTCTTTAATCGTGTTCTCGAGTCGATGACGAAGTTTGAGAACTACATTAGAATTCGTTTTCGAGAACGATTAAAGAAACAACGCAAATTCAAATTAATTTAAATAAGCAATATTCCAAATGAATGATTCATAAATTATTTTTAAGTTCAAAAATTCGTTAGTATTTTATTGCAAATACATTTAATGCAAAATTGTACGAACAAAGCTTTTTAAATTCACATTCGAGTCCCATTAGCGATCAACATTAGAATTCGATTAGAGAATTAATATTTTCTCGAGTCGAGAACTATGTCCCATTTTTGTTGAAATCGCTATGATTCTCGATAGTCTTTCGAGTCGTTCTCTAACGTTTGAGATTGGAGAATGTGCCTAGTTCTCCAATCATTCTCAAATCGATAACTAACCTCAATGTTTGCTGGGAAGCAGCGAAACAAAGGTGGTGCCTTTCATAAAATTATTATTTTTTTCGCACTAGTGATGAAAACTAAATTTTCATATTGTACCTATTTGCAGAAAGTTGTGCCTAAAAGTAGATAAACGTACCTGAAAAGTAAATATGTATTTTTGTTGGGTATACATTTTTGATAAACTGTTGGTAGACTACCTCTCCTTTTCGGTACTATATCTAATTTTGGACTTACATCAATATTCTATTACAAATGGCTTAGAAAGAAATTTCTCCGAGCAGTTCATGCCAAACCTTTCTTTTAACAAATCTTTATGCCCAGACTACAAAACGCGTTAAAGAGAAAACTTCACGATAAGTAATTTGCCTACGTTCCAAATGTTCCTAAAATAACGTGCTTGTACCGAAAATACGATCAAACTTAAGAAGAGGCTGAAGAGTAGGTATAATTCTATCTAGTTTTACATAACTATTTCCCCTTCTTCATCAAAATTATTCTTAGGTCCGGTTGCTCAATGTCTGGTTAGCACAAATCGGAGGTAGAAGTTCCGGTTAAATACAAGGACTGCTTTATCGATCACATAATATGTGCATAATGTTGAAAACGTCGATAACCATATTCAAC